AGGCCAGGTAGCCAAGGAGTGAGTGTGACAGGCGTCCTTAATCCCAGGCTATATCGGGAAGGCTGAGCAGGGAAAATCCGGCTTGACCCAGGAGGAGGGAGGTTTGTAGTCGAGCCAGATCGAAGCCACTGTGAATCCAGGGCCTGGGCGACTAGAGCCAGCGTCTGTCTTAAAACATAAGCCAGACGGCGGTTAGAGACTCACCGCCGATAATCCAGCACTTCAGAGAGGGCTTGAGGTGGGCAGGATTCACCACGGGTCAAGAAATCGAGACCATGCTGGCTTAACACGGGGAAACCGTCTCTTATCAAAAATACAAAATAGGGTGGGCGCGGTGGCTCAAGCCTGTAATCCCAGCACTTTGGGAGGCCGAGGCGGCGTACACGAGGTCAAGGAGATCAGACCATCCTGGCTAACCCCGATGAAACTCGTCTCTACTAAAAACAAATGCACAAAACTAGCCGGGCGGGCTGATCGTGGTTGGGGGTGGCGCCTGTAGTCCCAGCTACTCGGGAGGCTGAGGCAGGAGAATGGCATGAACCCGGGAGGCGGAGCTCGCAGGAAGCTGAGATGGCGCCACTGCACTCCAGCATGGGGGACAGAGCGAGACTCCGTCTCAAAAAAATTCAAAATAGCCTGCCATGGTGGCAGGCGCCTGTAGTCCCAGCTACTCGGGAGGCTGAGGCAGAATGGTGTGAACCCGGGAGGCAGAGCTTGCAGAGTCAAGATTGCGCCACTGCACTCCAGTCTGGGCGACAGAGACTCCATCTCAAAAGTAATAATAGGCAGGGTACGGTGGCTCACGCCTGTAATCCCAACACTTTGGGAGGCCGAGGCGGGTGGATCATCTGAGGTCCAAAGTTTGAGACCAGACTGACCAACATGGAGAAACCCTGTCTCTACTAAAAATACAAAATTAGCCGGGCGTGGTGGCGTATGCCTGTAATCCCAGCTACTCAGAAAGGCTGAGGCAGAATAGCCTGAATTCCGGGAGGCGGAGGTTGTAGTGAGCCGAGATGGTTCCATTGCACTCCAGCCTGGGCAATAACAGTGAAACTCCGTCTCAAAAAATAATAATAATAATAATGATAATAATAATAAAATAATTCTATTGAGGTGAAGGGTTAAGTTGTAACATACTTGATTCTCTCAGCCCTTTTTGGCTGTTTTACTATAGTCCCTATTTTGATGGTTATGCTAATATTTGTGGAAAAAGGTCTTGTATTTGCTGCATTATAGTGACATCAGTACTTCTTTAGCTGGTTTAAGTACAAATGAATAAAACCATTTTTCCTTTAAAAAAAAAAACAAAACACCAGGACGTGACTCCAGGCTCTTAAACAAAAGGCCAGGACACAGAATTCAGTCCCCCTGCAGGGTGACATCCCGAGTTCATCCCCACGAGCTGGTGAAGGCCTTTCCCATCTGCACAGCCTCCTTGGCCATGTGTTCACTGCACTCGCTCCACTGTATCCCAGAGACTCACACGTGCCAGGTGCTATCTAGGTGCCAGAAACATGGTAAAAGCCCCACAGGGCCCTGCCCTCTGGGAGCCTTTATTCCAGTCCACATACCTCCCTCCACAGGTGGAAATAGCACCCATGTCACACCAGAGCTTGAGGCCAAAGCTAGAGAACCCTCAGCTGACTGGCCAGTCCCTGTTCCTCCCTGGGGTAGACTGGGGAAGGGGGTGAGGACGAACTCCGGTCAGCAGCTCCAGGGTTTGGCGCCTGTCTTGGTTGTTTTAAAATGTAGCTTAATTGGCTGGGCACGGTGGCTCACACCAGTAATCCCAGCACTTTGGGAGGCCAAAGTGGGAGGATCCCTTGAGCTGAGGAGCTGGAGACCAGCCTAGGCAACAAAGCAAGACCCCATCTCTAAAAGATATGTTTTTAAAAATGTTTAAAAATGAAAAGATGGCTTAATTGCATAACAAATGTATTCGTTAACCAACTATGAGGAAACACCGAAACATAAAGACCCACACACTCTGTACAAAGCTCCCCAAAGGCTTCCCAGCCCTGGGCACTTGTACCCACACCCCCGCCCCAAAAAGCCTCGATTTCTGCTTCCATGTCACGCTGACCCCTCAGCTCCCCCCGACTCTTCCCCTTACCCCACTTTATTGTTTTCCATGGAACTCAATCAAACCAGTTTGGACCTACTGGAAGGCGAGCTCCACTGGGGTGGGGGTGGGCCACCGTTTCCAGCTGTATTAAGTCCCGAACAGCACGGCCCTTGGAAGACGCACCTAATAAGTATGCTCAATGAATGAATGAGACCAAAAAAATTGCAGTGAGGGTTCAATGACATAAAGACTATCATTGTGTAATTGCTCTTAAAAAATTCCTGTAAGTGGAATTGCTGAGTCAAAGAATATGAACCTTTTAGAGAAGCTTCTTATCCTTCAAAGAAAATACAATTAGGCCAGCCCTGTGAGTTTTCCCACTCAATTCCTACTGACTGCTGTCAGGACACCCCACAATAGCTTTAATTTGGATTTTTTTTTTTTTTTTTTTTATAAGTCTCGCTCTGTCACCCAGGCTGGCAAGCAGTGGTGCCATCTCAGCTCACTGCAACCTCTCTCTGCCTCCTGGGTTCAAGCGATTCTCCCACCTCTGCCTCCCAAGTAGCTGGGATTACAGGCAGGCGCCACCAGACCCGGCTAATTTTTTTATTTTTAGTAGAGATGGGGTTTTGCTATATTGGCCAGGCTGGTCTCAAACTCCTGTCCTCAGGTATCCACCTCGGCCTCCCAATGTTGCGGTTTACAGGCCTGAGTCACTGCCCAGCCCTGATTTGAGTGCGATTTTTTTTTTTTTTTTTGACGAGTCCTCGCCTGCCGCCAGTGACTGGAATCAGTGCACAATCTCAGCTCAACTGTAACCTCCGCCTCTAGTTCAAGGGATCTCCTGGCCTCAGCCTCCTGAGAGCTGGACGACAGGATCAACACATGCACAGCTAATTTTTTTTTGAGACAAGAGTCCCGCTTGTTTACCCCAGGCGGAGTACAGTGGGTCGACTGCCTCATGAACCTGTGCCTCCTGGCCCGGGTCCAGCATTCTCCGCCAGCCTCCCACATAGCTGGACAAGGGAACACCCAGCTAAGTTTGTAATTTTTAGAAGAGGTTTCACAATTTGTCAGGCTGTCCTGAACCCTGACCTGCCCGCCTCCGCTCCCAAAGTGGCTGGATAAGGCGTGAGCCAGCGCCAGGCGATTTGATTGACTACTAGTATACGGGGGTAAGTGGGCCCCTGAATTGCCATGCCCTCCCAAACCTCAAGAATACGACCCTTATTTGCAAGAGGGTCTTTCAATGTAACGTTAATGGATGACTCACACGGTCAGTGGCCCCTAAATCCAGACTGGTGTCCACATAATGGACAAACCAAGGCCGCGGGCGTGGGTGACTCCATTCGCCTGTAATGCCCAGCCTTGGGAGGCTAGCAGCGTGGATCACTGAGTCAGGTGATCAAGACCAGCCTGGCCAACATGGTGAAAACCTGTCCTCTACTAAAAAACAAAAATTAGCCCAAGCGTGGTGCAGCGCCGCGTAAGCTCCCTACTGAGGGAGGCCTTAGGCAGTGAACTCTGCTGAACCAGGCGGTGGAGGTTGCATGGC